TGAGGATACTTGAATTGATTCATGAATCTTCAGAAGATGGGCCATTCAAAAATAATCAAGAAGGCTGGAAAAATGATGAATGAGCAGAAAGAGGGTAGAGCTGGGACAAAGCCTTGAATTGATTCCCATGAACTTGCAGATGGGCCATTCAAAAATAATTCAAGAAGGTTGGAAATGATGACTGAGCAGAAAGAGGGTAGAGTCAGGACAAGACTTTGAGGATACTTGAATTGATTCATGAACTCAGAAGATGGGCCATTCAAAATAATCAAGAAGGTTGGAAAATGATGACTGAGCAGAAAGAGGGTAGAGCTGTGGACAAAGATTTGAGGATACTTTGAATTGATCTCAAGAACTTCAGAAGATGGGCCATTCAAAAAAAAAAAATAAGAAGGCTGGAAAATGATGACTGAGCAGAAAGAGGGTAGAGCTGTAACAAAGACTTGAATTGATCTCATGAACTTCAGTAGATGGGCCATTCAAAATAATCTAAGAAGGAAAAAAATGATGACTGGAGCAGAAAGAGGGTAGAGGACAAATGCCATTTGAGATACTTGAATTGATCTCATGAACTTCAAAGATGGGCTATCCAAAATAATCTAAGAAGGCTGGAAAAATGATGACTGAGCAGAAAGAGGGTATGAGCTGGGACAAAGACTGAATTGATCTCAACGAACTTCAGAAGATGGGCCATTCAAAATAATTCCAGAAGGCTGGAAAATGATGACTGAGCAGAAAGAGGGTAGAGTGTGGACAAAGCCATTTGAGGATACTTGAAATTGATCTCATGAACTTCAGAAGATGGGCCATTAAAACACACCCAAGAAGGAAAATGACACTGAGCAGAAAGAGGTAGAGCTGTGGACAAAGACTTGAATTGATCTCAAGGAACTTAATCTAAGAAGGCTGGAAAATGATGACTGAGCAGAAAGAGGGTAGAGCTGTGGACAAAATGAATTGATCTATGAAGGCCATTCAAACAATCTGGAAAAATGATGACTGAGCAGAAAGGCAGAGCTGTGGACAAAGCTTGAATTGACAAACTCAGAAGATGGGCTATTCAAATTTGAAGGAAAATGATGACTTGAAAGAGGGTAGAGTCTAGACAAAGACTTGAATTTCCTAGAAGATGGGCCATTAAAAATAATCTAAGAAGGCTGGAAAATGATGACTGAGCAGAAAGGGGTAGAGCTGTGGACAAAGACTTGAATTGATCTTCATGAATCAGCAGATGGGCCATTCAAAATAACCAAGGCGCTGGAAAATGATGACTGAGCAGAAAGAGGGTAGAGTTGTGGACAAAGCCATTTGAGGATACTTTGAATTGATCTCATGAACTTCAGAAGATGGGCCATTCAAAAATATCTAAGAAGGCTGGAAAATGATGACTGAGCAGAAAGAGGCAGAGCTGTGGACAAAGACTTGAATGATCTCATGAACTCAGAAGATGGGGCTATTCAAAATAATCTAAGAAGGCTGGAAAATGATGACTGAGCAGAAAGAGGGTAGAGTCAGGACAAGATTCTGAATTGATCTCAAAGCCATTTGAGGATTCAAAATAATCTAAGAAGGCTGGAAATGATCTGAGCAGAAAGAGGGTAGAGCTTGACAAAGAAATTGATGAACTTGGAAGATGGGCCATTCAAAATAATTCCAAGAAGGCTGGAAAATGACGACTGAGCAGAAAGAGGGTAGAGCTGTGGACAAAGACTTGAATTGAGGAACTTCAGAAGATGATCCATTCATGAATCTCAAGAAGGCTGGGAAAATCAAAAGAAAGAGGGTAGAGCTGACAAAGACTGAATTAGCAGAAAGAGAAGAGAGTCATTCACAAAGAAGGTTGAAAATTTGATGACTCATGAACTTAGAGTTGTAAAAGATGGGCCATTCAAAATAATCTAAGAAGGCTGAAAATGATGACTGAGCAGAAAGAGGGTAGAGTTGTGGACAAAGCCATTTGAGGATACTTGAATTGATCTCATGAACTTTGTGAAGATGGGCCATTAAAAATAATCAAGCAAGGCTGAAATGATGACTGAGCAGAAAAGAGGGTAGAGTTGTGGACAAAGACTTGAATTGATCTCAGAACTCAAGATGGGCCAAAATAATCTAAGAAGGAAAATGATGACTGAGCAGAAAGGGGTAGAGCTGTGACAAAGACTACTGAATTGATCTCATGAACTTCAGAAGATGGGCCATTCAAATAATCTAAGAAGGCTGAAAAATGATGACTGAAGAAAGAGGGTAGAGCTGACAAAGCCAAGACTTGAATTGATCTCATGAACTTCAGTAGATGGGCCATTCAAATAATCTATGAAGGCTGGAAATGATGACTGAGCAGAAAGAGGGTAGAGTTGTGGACAAAGACTTGAATTGATCTCATGAACTTCAGTAGATGGGCCATTCAAAATAATCTAAGAAGGCTGGAAAATGATGACTGAGCAGAAAAGGGTAGAGTAGAGCTGTGACAAGGACTTGAATTGATCTCATGAACTTCAGAAGATGGGCCATTCAAAATAATTCAAGAAGGCTGGAAAAATGATGACTGAGCAGAAAGAGGGTAGAGCAAAGGACAAAGACTTGAATTGATCTCATGAACTTCAGAAGATGGGCCATTCAAAATAATCTAAGAAGGCTGGAAAATGATGACTGAGCAGAAAGAGGGTAGAGTCAGACAAAGACTTGAATTGATCTTCATGAACTTCAGAAGATGGGGCATTCAAAAATAATCTAAGAAGGCTGGAAATGATGACTGAGCAGAAAGAGGGTAGAGCTAGACAAAGACATTTGAATTGAATTGATCTCATGAACTTGGGAAGATGGCCATTCAAATAATCTAAGAAGGCTGGAAAATGATGACTTAGCAGAAAGAGGGTAGAGTTGGGACAAAGACTGAATTGATCTCATGAACAGAAGATGGGCCATTCAAAATAATCTATGCTGGAAATGATGACTGAGCAGAAAGGAGGGTACAAAGCCATTTGAGGAAGACTTGAATTGATCTCATGAACTTCAGAAGATGGGGCATTCAAAACAATCTAAGAAGGTTGGAAAATGACAGACTGAGCAGAAAGAGGGTAGAGCTGTGGACAAAGACATTTGAGGATTGATCTCATGAACTTTGAAGATGGGCCATTCAAAATAATCTAAGAAGGCTGGAAAAATGATGACTGGAGCAGAAAGAGGGTAGAGCTGTGGACAAAGCCATTTGAGGAGGCTTGAATTGATCTCATGAACTTCAGAAGATGGGGCCATTCAAAATAATCTGAAGGCTGAAAAATGATGACTGAGCAGAAAGAGGTAGAGCTAAAACAAAGACTTGAATTGATCTCATGAACTTCAGAAGATGGGCCATTCAAAAATAATCTAAGAAGGTTGGAAAATGATGACTGAGCAGAAAGAGGGTAGAGCCAGACAAAGACTTGAATTGATCCTCATGAACTTCAGTATTCAAATAATCTAGATGGGCCAAATAAACAATCTGAGCTGGACAAAGCTATATTTGAGGAAAAAATCTCATGAACTGAAGATGGGGCAGAAAGAAGGGTAAAATGATGACTGAGCAGAAAGAGGGAGAGCATTTGACAAAGACTACTGGAATTGATCTCATGAACTTCAGAAGATGGGCCATTCAAAATAACACCCAAGAAGGCTGGGAAATGATGAGACTGAGCAGAAAGAGGGTAGAGCTGGGACAAAGACTGAATCTGATCCATGAACTCAGTAGATGGGCCACCCAAAATACCCAAGAAGGCTGAAAATGATGACTGAGCAGAAAGAGGGTAGAGCTGTGGACAAAGCCATTTGAGGATACTTAATTGATCTCATGAACTTCAGAAGATACCATTGAAAAATAATGAAGGTTGAAAACATGAACAGAAAGAGGGTAGAGCTTGGACAAAGATATTTGAGGACACTTGATCCATGAACTTAGAAGGGCCATTCAAAATAAGAAGGCTGGAAATGATGACTGAGCAGAAAGAGGGTAGAGCTGTGGACAAAGCTTGATTTGAGGATAATTTGAATTGATGGGCTGTCAAAATGAACTTCAGAAGATGAAGTCATTCAAAAATAATCTAAGAAGGCTGGAAAAATGATGACTGAGCAGAAAGAGGGTAGAGCAAAGCTATTTGAGGACTTGAATTGATTGATGGGCCATTCAAAATAATCTAAGAAGGCTGAAAAATGACTGAGCAGAAAGAGGGTAGAGCTGTGGACAAAACCATTTGAGGATACTTGAAAATCTCTATGAACTTGAAAATGGCCATTCAAAAAATGGAAAAATGGGGATGATGATTGAGCAGAAAGAGGGTAGAGCTGTGGACAAAGACTTGAATTGATCTCATGAAGGCTTCAGTAGAGCTGGGCCATTCAAAATATCTGCACCCAGGCTGGAAAATGATGACTGAGCAGAAAGAGGGTGAGCTGTGGACAAAGACTTGAATTGATCCTCGAACTCAGTAGATGGGCCATTCAAAAATAACTAAGAAGGCTGGAAAATGATGACTGAGCAGAAAGAGGGTAGAGTCAGGACAAAGACTTGAGGATAACATCTGATCCTATGAACTCAGTAGATGGGCCATTCAAAATAATCTAAGAAGGCTGGAAAATGATGACTGAGCAGAAAGAGGGTAGAGCCAGGACAAAGCTATTTGAGGATACTTGAATTGGATCCTCTAAGAACTTCAGAAGATGGGGCCAAAAATAATCAAGGCTGGAAAATGATGACTGAGCAGAAAGAGGGTAGAGCTGTGGACAAAGACGGAATTGATCCCATGAATGTAGATGGGCCATTCAAAATAATCAAGAAGGCTGAAAAATGATGACTGAGCAGAAAGAGGGTAGAGCCAGGACAAAGACTTGAATTGATCTCATGAACTTCAAAGATGCCATTCAAAAATAATCAAGAAGGCTGGAAATGATGACTGGACAGAAAGAGGGTAGAGTCATGGACAAAGACTTGAATTGATTCCATGAACTCAGAAGATGGGGCCATTCAGTTAATCTAAGAAGGCTGAAAAATGATGACTGAGCAGAGAGGAGAGAGCTGTGACAAAGACTTGAATTGGATCTGATCCATGAATCAGAAGATGGCCATCTAAATAATCTAAGAAGGCTGGAAAATGATGACTGAGCAGAAAGAGGGTAGAGCAGGGACAAAGACTTGAATTGATCTCATGAATTTCAGTAGATGGCCATTCAAATAAATCAAGAAGGCTGAAAATGATGACTGAGCAGAAAGAGGTAGAGCTGTGGACAAAGACTGAATTGGATCTCTTGATCTCAGAATCAGAAGATGGGCCATTCAAATAATCTAAGAAGGCTGGAAAAATGATGACTGAGCAGAAAGAGGGTAGAGCTGTGACAAAGTCAAAGACTTTGAATTGGATCTCATGAACTTGGGAAGATGGCCATTCAAAATAATCTAAGAAGGCTGGAAAATGATGACTGAGCAGAAAAGAGGTAGAGCTGTGGGACAAAGACTTGAATGATCTCAAGAACTTCAGAAGATGGCTATTCAAATAAAGAAGGCTGGAAAACATGACTGAGCAGAAAGAGGGCAGAGCTGTGGACAAAGACTTGAATTGATCCCATGAACTTGGGAAGATGGGCCATCCAAAACAACCTAAGAAGGCTGGAAAATGATGATTGAGCAGAAAGAGGGTAGAGTTGCAGACAAAGATTTGAACTGTTGATCCATGAACTCAGAAGACAATATTCAAAATAATCTAAGAAGGCTGGAAAAATGATGACTGAGCAGAAAGAGGGTAGAGCTGTGGACAAAGACTTTGAATTGATCCTTACGAACTTCAGAAGATGGGCCATTAAAATAATCTAAGAAGGCTGGAAAATGATGACTGAGCAGAAAGAGGGTAGAGTTGTGGACAAAGCCATTTGAGGAACTTGAATTGATCTCATGAACTTGGAGAAGATGGGCCATTCAAAATAATCAAGAAGGCTGGAAAAATGATGACTGAGCAGAAAGAGGTAGAGCTGTGGACAAAGACTTGAATTGATCTCATGAACTTCAGTAGATGGGCCATTCAAAATAATCTAAGAAGGCTGGAAAAATGATGACTGAGCAGAAAGAGGGTAGAGCTGTGGACAAAGCCATTTGAGGATACTGAATTGATCTCATGAACTTCAAGATGGGCCATTCAAAATAATCTAAGAATGCTGGAAAAATGATGACTGAGCAGAAAGAGGGTAGAGCTGTGGACAAAGACTGAATTGATCTCATGAACTTCAGAAGATGGGCCATTCAAAATAATCTAAGAAGGCTGGAAAAATGATGACTGAGCAGAAAGAGGGTAGAGTTGTGGACAAAGACTTGAATTGATCTCATGAACTTGAAGATGGGCCATTCAAAAATAATCTAAGAAGGCTGGAAATGATGACTGGAGCAGAAAGAGGGTAGAGCTGTGGACAAAGACTTGAATTGATCTCATGAACTTGATCTCAAACACCCAAGAAGGGAAAAACATGAACTTCAGAAGATTGGGAACCATTCAAAATAATCTAAGAAGGCTGGAAAATGATGACTGAGCAGAAAGAGGTAGAGCTGTGGACAAAGACTTGAATCTCATGAACTTGAGATCTTCAAATAATCTAAGAACCCAGAAGATGGGCCATTCAAAATAATTCAAGAAGGCTGGAAAATGATGACTGAGCAGAAAGAGGTAGAGCTGGACAAAGACTTGAATTGATCTTCAGAACTTCAAAGATGGGGCATTCAAAAAATAATTCAAGAAGGCTGGAAAAATGATGACTGGGAGCAGAAAGAGGGTAGAGCTGTGACAAAGATTTGAGCTTGAATTGATTCATGAACTTCAGAAGACAAATATTCAAAAATAATCTAAGAAGGCTGGAAAATGATGACTGAGCAGAAAGAGGGTAGAGCTGTGGACAAAGACTTGAATTGATCTCAAGAACTTCAGAAGATGGGCTATTCAAATAATCTAAGAAGGCTGGAAAATGATGACTGAGCAGAAAGAGGGTAGAGCTGTGGACAAAGACTGAATTGATCTCATGAACTTCAGAAGATGGGCCATTCAAAATAATCTAAGAAGGGGAAATGATGACTTAGCAGAAAGAGGGTGAGCTGTGACAAAGACTGAATTGATCTCATGAACTCAGTAGATGGGCTATTCAAATAACCCAAGAAGGTTGGAAAAATGATGACTGGAGCAGAAAGAGGGTAGAGCTGACAAAGCCATTTGAGGATACTTTGAATTGATCTCATGAACTTCAGAAGATGGGCCATTCAAAAATAATCTAAGAAGGCTGAAAATGATGACTGAGCAGAAAGAGGTAGAGCTGTGGACAAAGACTTGAATTGATCTCATGAACTTCAGAAGATGGGCCATTCAAAATAATCTAAGAAGGCTGGAAAATGATGACTGAGCAGAAAGAGGGAGTTGACAAAGACTTGAATTGATCAAAGAACTTTGAGGGCCATTCAAATGATTCAAGGAACTGAGACTGAGCAGAAAGAGGGTAGAGCTGTGGACAAAGACTTGAATTGGATCTCAAACTTCAGAGATGGGCCATCTAAGAAGGCTGGAAAATGATGACTGAGCAGAAAGAGGGTAGAGCTGTGGACAAAGCTACTTGAGGATACTTGAATTGATCTCATGAACTTCAGAAGATGGGCCATTCAAAATAATCAAGAAGGCTGGAAAATGATGACTGAGCAGAAAGAGGGCAGAGCTGTGGACAAAGCCATTTGAGGATACTTGAATTGATCTCATGAACTTGTGAAGATGGGCCATTCAAAATAATCTAAGAAGGCTGGAAAATGATGACTGAGCAGAAAGAGGGTAGAGTTGTGGACAAAGACTTGAATTGATCTCATGAATCAGTAGATGGGCCATTCAAAAATAATCTAAGAAGGCTGGAAAATGATGAATTGAATTGCAGAAAGAGGGAGCTGTGGACAAAGCCATTTGAGGATACTTGAAATTGATCTCATGAACTTCAGAAGATGGGCCATTCAAAACAATCTAAGAAGGCTGGAAAATGATGACTGAGCAGAAAGAGGGTAGAGCTGTGGACAAAGACTTGAATTGATCTCAATGAACTTCAGTAGATGGGGCCATTCAAAATAATCTAAGAAGGAAAATGATGACTGAGCAGAAAGAGGGTAGAGCTGTGACAAAGCCATTTGAGGACTTGAATTGATCTCATGAACTTGCAGATGGGCCATTCAAAATAATCTAAGAAGGCTGGAAAATGATGATGACTGAGCAGAAAAGAGGGTAGAGCTGTGGACAAAGCCCATTTGAGGATACTTGAATTGATCTCATGAACTTCAGAAGATGGGCCATTCAAAATAATCTAAGAAGGCTGGAAAATGGACAGACTGAGCAGAAAGAGGGTGAGCTGTGACAAAGAATTGAATTGAATTAATCTCATGAACTTTAGAAGATGGGCCATTCAAATAATCTAAAGGCTGAAAATGATGACTGCAGAAAGAGGGTAGAGCTGTGACAAAGCCATTTGAATACTTGAAATCTCTCATGAACTTGAAGATGGGCCATCAAAACAATCTAAGAAGGTAAAACGATGACTGGAGAAAGAGGGAGCTGTGGACAAAGACTTGAATTTGATCCCGAACTTAGAAGATGGGCCATTCAAAATAATCAAGAAGGAAAATGATGACTGAGCAGAAAGAGGGTAGAGCTGTGGACAAAGCCATTTGAGGATTTAATCTCATGAAATCTCAGAAGATGGGCCTATTCAAAATAATTCAAGAAGGCTTGGAAAATGATGACTGAGCAGAAAGAGGTAGAGTTGTGGACAAAGCCATTTGAGGACTTGAATTGATCTCATGAACTTCAGAAGATGGGCCATTCAAAATAATTCAAGAAGGCTGAAAAATGATGACTGAGCAGAAAGAGGGTAGAGCTGTGGACAAAGACTTGAATTGATCTCATGAACTTCAGAAGATGGGGCCATTCAAAATAATCTAAGAAGGAAAAATGATGACTGAGCAGAAAGAGGGTAGAGCTGTGGACAAAAGACTTGAATTGATCTCATGAACTTCAGAAGATGGGCCATTCAAAATAATCTAAGAAGGCTGGAAATGATGACTGAGCAGAAAGAGGGTAGAGCTGTGGGACAAAGACTTGAATTGATCTCATGAACTTTAGAAGATGTATTCAAAACAATCTAAGAAGGCTGGAAAAATGATGACTGAGCAGAAAGAGGGTAGAGTCAAATGGAGGATGACTGAGCAGAAAGATTCAAAAATAATCTAAGAAGGCTGGAAAATGATGACTGAGCAGAAAGAGGGTAGAGCCAGGACAAAGACTTGAATTGATCCTCATGAACTTGTTAGATGGGCCATTCAAAATAAAATAAGAAGGAAAAATGATGACTTGAGCAGAAAGAGGGTAGAGCTGTGGACAAAGACTTTTGAATTGATCTTTTGAATTGATTCATGAACTTCGAAGATGGGCCATTCAAATAATCTAAATATGAAGGCTGAAAATGATGACTGAGCAGAAAGAGGGTAGAGCTGTGGACAAAAGAGGATACTTGAATTGATCTCATGAACTTCAGAAGATGGGCCATTCAAAACAATCTAAGAAGGCTGGAAATGATGACTGACTACAGAAAGAGGTAGAGTTGTGACAAAGACTTGAATTGATCTCATGAAGATGGGCTTCAAAAGAATTCAAGAAGGCATTCAAAATAGGGTAGAAGGCTGGAAAAGACTGATGACTGAGCAGAAAGAGGGTAGAGACAAAGCTGTGGACAAAGACTTGAATTGATCTCATGAACTTCAGAAGATGGGCCATTCAAAATAATCTAAGAAGGCTGGAAAATGATGACTGAGCAGAAAGAGGGTAGAGCTGTGGACAAAGCCATTTGAGGATACTGAATTGATCTCATGAACTTGTGAAGATGGGCTTATTCAAAATAATCTAAGAAGGCTGGAAAATGATGACTGAGCAGAAAAGAGGGTAGAGCTGTGGACAAAGACTTGAATTGGGTATCCCATGAAACTCAGAAGATGGGCCATTCAAAATAATCTAAGAAGGCTGGAAAATGATGACTGAGCAGAAAGAGGGTAGAGCTGTGGACAAAGACTTTGAGGATACTGAATCCTCATGAACTTCAGTAGAGGGCCATTCAAACAATCTAAGAAGGGTGGAAAAATGATGACTGAGCAGAAAGAGGGTAGAGCTGTGACAAAGCCATTTGAGGATACTTGAATTGGATCTCATGAACTTCAGAAGATGGGCCATTCAAAATAATCTAAGAAGGCTGGAAAATGATGACTGAGCAGAAAGGGTAGAGCCAGGACAAAGACTTTGAATTGATCTCATGAACTTCAGAAGATGGGCCATTCAAAATAATCTAAGAAGGCTGGAAAAATGATGAGACTGAGCAGAAAGAGGGCAGAGGCCAGACAAAGACATTGAATTGATCTCATGAACTTCAGAAGATGGGCCATTCAAAATAATCTAAGAAGGCTGGAAAATGATGACTGAGCAGAAAGAGGGTAGAGCTGTGGACAAAGACTTGAATTGATCTC